TAGTGTCAACCCGTGCAAGCCGGTGGGTTCTAGTTGAGTGTTTTGGACAACAATGGAGCTCTTGGAATAAAGTACATCAAGCTTTGATACACACAGAAAACCTGTTAGTAGATGCATGTGTAGCTGGTTTTGATCTTTTTACTGGACTTGTTGACCATAAGAAAAATAAAGAATAACCTTAGAATAGCCTCATTCTAAACAATCTCAATACAGTCAGTTTAATTGTTCTAAGTTAAATCTTTTCTCTGGGCTGTTTGTTCTATTTCACCTGGACTTTGTGTCTCTCTGGAGACAGAGCGGTCACAGCTGCAGGCGAGATAGTGTTCATGCACAGCTCGTCTCCTCTTTGACCCAGAATGGAGGTCTCTTTTTATCTTCATTGTAATCCTGAAACTGTGGACCCCAGCTGCTGTGGACACATTCCTTTTTCTGACTGTTATGTAGACTCGTCCCTGTTATCTCTGACCTGGAAGGACCTGGAATGTGTGTGTGTGTGTCCAGCTGCAGCTCACCGTCTTCACTGAAGTCGTCCACCAGAATGATCTCATGGATGAGATGAACTGGAGTTCTGTTCAAAACGCTGGAGAGACAAAAGAAAAAATTACTCTCGAATATGCACGAATGCAAGTATACAACAAGAAAATGCATTTAAAATATATAGAAAGCTCCCGAGTAAATGCCAACCGGAACACACACACACACACTCTGCTGCTCATGAATCCATTATGTACGCACTGCATGCCATATAAAAAAACATATTGAAAATGTCAGCCCAAATTCCTGTTATGAAAATGTATGACGTGTCGCCTCTAAGAAACTATTTCATTAAAGAGGGAGATTGAAACATAAAAAATTCATAACTTTTACTGGAATAAAATAAGAAAATGTGTTTTGTTCTGGGTCAGTTTCTGCTATTTTATTTAATTATTTCTTCTCTTCAGTAAGCTCTGTGTTCATCATCCCCTCTTGATAAGGCCGAGGAGGGAGGAAGGAGGGAGGGTAGACACAACAAGGATGGGTAAAAGTAAAGAGGGAGAGAAACGGTGAAGAGAGATGGAGGAAGAGAGAGAGGACGAGTGACGGGAAGGAGTGTTGGAGAACAGAAAGGAGAGAATATGGAAGGACAATTAGACAACGGGAGAAAAAGCAAGAAGGGGAAGAAGGAATGGAGGGATGAAGGAGAGAAAAAGGGAAACAAGTGTTAAGTATAAAAGGTGGGAAAAGAGAAGGAAAGGAAAAAGAAAAAGAACAAGGATTCCAGAGATTGTTGAAGGGAATGAAAGAGGAAAGGAAAGGACAGAGAAGATAGAGAGGGGTGACAGAAAGACGCACAGAAGAAAAGATAATGAAAAGAAAGACAAAAGTGAAGGTGTGAGCACGAGGGAGGAAAGAAAGAGACGCAGAGATTTAAAGGAAAAGGATAGAAGTAGCGATAGAGGGAAGAAAAAAGAAAATGAGGATTAAACAAGAAATGGGAAAAGGGTGTCAGGGATGATTGGAGAGGATGAAAGTGGGAAGCAGAGAGGGTAGAAAAGATAAGAGGAAAGGTGGGAGGGAAGGAGAGAGCACGGTGAGGAAGGAGATTTTGAGAAAAGTAAACTAAGATGGAGGAAGAAAAGGAAACAAGAGTTGAAAGAAGGGAGAGGAGAAAACAAGAGGGAGCAAATATAGCATATTAATCATGTTATATGCATTTTATAATATGCCACTTCTGTTTTTAGTGCATTTATACAGTTGAAAATGTACCTTTTAGGTTTATTCTTGCTCATTTACAATTATTTTCTGTGGTCTGCTGATAAATGAGTGCTGCCAGATAAACAAAAAGTAAAACAAAACAAGGATATACAAGTACAAGGGAGAAATCCACAGGAAAGAGGGAAGGAAAGGAGAGGAGCTAAGGGGGAAAGGAAGCGTGAATTGAAGGAGTGAAGGCAGACTGTTGGTTCATTGAGACAGAACAAGAGAAGGAAGTGATTATGGAGAAGGACGGATGGAATTCGGGAGAGGTGAAAGTGAAGAACGGAGCGAGGGATGGAGGGATGGAGGGAGCTGGAGCTGATAATGTAGGAGGAGGAGGTGCAGAGCGAAACTATGAGTCTCTGAGGCACCGGCCCACATCAGGAGGAATGATGGATGCAGGGGGGGAGGGGGAGGTGGAGTGAGATGAAAGAGTGAGGGATAATAAAGGAGGGGAGAGAGAGAGAGAGATGGCAGACTAGTAAGGGAGACAAATAACCCTGATTGTAACTCCCCCCCTCTCTCTGAGTCGAGGAGCGATCAGGAGAGATGGATGAATGGATTGATGGATTAGATGGAGGGAAGAAGGGAGGAGTGGGGAGGAGAAAGAGGGGTAGGAAAGGTGTGGGCCAAGCAAATAAGAAAAAAAGGGTGGAATCAAGATGGAGAGATGAGGTGATCAAGTAGAAAGACAATAGTGTATTTATCTCATTAGATCACATTAAATCCTCCACTGAATCTATCTATCTATCTATCTATCTATCTATCTATCTATCTATCTATCTATCTCTTCTATCCTATCTATCTATCTATCATCTATCTATCTATCTATCTATCTATCTATCTATTTATTCACATTATAGGGAAGCAGACAGACATGGATGGATGGACACAATCTCTTTTCATTCTTTTTTCTTTCTCTCTCCACCTCCTCTCCTCCCTTTCACCACCTCCCCACCTCTCTTTCTCTTCCTCTCTCTCTC